TCATTATCAAACTAGTTCCTACGTGTACAGTACAGCGATACCAAACCAGTGGTACCTGTGTAAGGGCCAATAGTGCCAAAACAGTGCCAAAACAGAGGGCCTGTGTTCAAAACCCGAATCCTGAGAATGGCACGACCAAAAATCGTATACCTGCACAGCGACATAGGGCCAACAGGGCCAAAAACAGTGCCCAACAAGGTCCTGTGTTCAAAACCCGAATCCTAAGAATGGCACAACCAAAACTCGTATACCTGCAACCCAGGGTTCGAAACCCAAAACCCCAAGCCCGAGTTCAAAACTGCAACCCCGGGTTCCAAACCTGAATAGCACCCCAATCATGCAGATAAACACAGGGCCTGCGTTAACAGCGCCAAAGGGCTCGAACCCGAGCAGCTAGAATACCCCCTTTCACCACCTAATATTTTTACATTTTATTTTTTATTTTTAATTTGGTGAAGAATTTTGATGTGACTCTGAGGCAAAAGTTGTTCTGTTTATTTTTCTGCATAACATAGGGTGGGTGTTTTTTTTTTTTTTTTTTTTTTTTTTTTTTCTGGGACCTTCCTTGGTCCTTGCACGGGCTGGCCACCCGGAACCCGGGCGGCCCGGCTGGTAGCCTAGAAATTTTCAAAAAAAAGATATTCCGGATTTCCTCAGAAGAAAAACAACGGAAATTTCAGGTGTTGCGCTATTGCGATTTTCCACAACAGAAATAGCGGGAAAACAAAATCCAAGAAAGAGAAAAAAAAAAACAAAACAATTTTCGGCAGTGAGGTAAAAATTGTGATTTTGGGGGCTAACTAGTGTGCTCTAATCAATCAATCAAGACTAATCAGCTACTTAGTCCCCACACACGTGTCAGATCAGGTTGTCCTGATTCACATGCGGTGTTCCGATGCCAACTGTTACATGCCCAGTTGGGCGATGTACATATAAAGCCGAGGATCCGCAATGTGATAAAAAGGACTGAATGGACATAGTGCAAGTGAAATCTCAACAAGCAGTGTACATTCTGATACATACAAATTGGTGCTTCATAGCGCAGGGGAAGACTTACAAGTCCTGACCTGACCGGGACTGACCTCTATCACGTAGTGTCAGACAGCGCAGCAGAATGCTAGAATACTAATGACTAGCCCAATCAATGTTGCAACGCAGACCAAACATACATCATCCTCATCACAAGGTGTGAAGGGACCTGGCGCTACACACAGGAAGAATGCACCATGTCCAAATCATGCACAGACGAAGAGGAGGGAAACAGACGAAGAGGAGGGGGAGAGATGTGAATGTCATGTCGTCAACACCAAGTCTTTGTTAAAAGTCCCAAATAATCCCTCGTCAAACTGTCTGAAGCCCAACGTCAAGTCTGAATCCAAATGTCACCATAGTCTGCTGATGCAGTGAAGTCAGGTAGCGAGAGGGTGAGAGGGAGATGGTGGACTGAGAAGAGGAAGAAGAAATCTCTCTCTCATATGCCAGGTACTAACCTGTGAAGATGGCGCTGTGCTGCAGGTACCTCGAAGGCAAAGCTGGAGCTATGGCGCTGCAGGTAAGTATCCCTGGCCTCCGCCCAATCTCTCTCTCTCTAGTACTACAGTTCCCAAGAGCGCCCAGCGCTGAAGACTGCTGCTAACGCTAATAGCACCCAGCGCTGAAGACTACTGCTAGTGCTACTACTACTACTGCAGCGCTCCTCCAGAGTGCTGCCGCCAAATCCTGAAGACTACCTCCTGCCTCCTGAACTGAACGTGAAGTGCCTGAGAAGTACCTAGGAACTACCTGCCGGCCTGCAGGGCGGGCCAGTCCTATATAGTGCTGCTCCGTCCAGGAGGCTTCTCTTGCCAACGCCCCGAAACGTGCCAGACCCTGGCGTTGAAGCTCGACCAGGGGTTGTCTTGAAAACAAGCCCGAAATGGCCTGTGCTAAGACCCTGGTTTGGTGCCTGAGTTTCAGGGCGGGTCGCTCTGATGAGGGCCTGAAAATGGCCCTCAGTTTCAGGCTGAAACGACACAGGGCCTGTAGGCCCTTGTTTTCAGGCTTTTGGACTGAAAACGTCACGGGCCTGAAAATGGCCCGTGCTGCCTGTTGCAGGCGCAGCATGTAACAGGAAAGGAGGACGAGGACGAAGAGAGAAAAGAGGACGAAATGAAGAGGAGAGAAGAAGAAGAAGACAAGAGGAGGAAGAGTGAAGAAGAAGAAGATGATGGGCAGATCAACGATGACATAGCAGCTCAATGACGGGCAGCGCATTGGGAGCTCCGCGCGAGGAGGACGAGGTTGGTTATGCACAGAGGGCACCTGGATGACGCAGGGCCAAGGCAGCTGGATGACGGCGGCAGGGCTTCGAACTTCGTGCGCGAGGAGGACAATCCCCCGTTCGCATTTGAATGCGGGGTCGTAGCCCACCAGGGGGGATGGGACAAGGCCTTTTTCAGCGACTGATCTCAGCCACCGATCTTCGCAGATCGGCGGCTGGGATCAGTCGCCGAAAAAGGCCTGCCCCTCACTCCTAGAAAGTCCAATTTGTTTTTCAGGCACCAGGCGTCCGGGGAGCCCGCCACTGGCTGAAAAAGGCCTCCCCCCACCTGCATACAAAATTGTGCTAGGCCCACCCGGCACCCACCGGGAGACCCAACCGGCCAGGCCGCCCGGGAGCCCTACCGGACGATGGCAGGGCCGCCGGGCGGTCCGAATTTTATCACAGGATTTTGGACCTCAGCATACCTTTCCTAGGGTTGACTTCAGCATATAGGCATTGATAGACGCCATGCAACAGCTACCAATCAGAGGGATGACGTTGGGACAATTGCAGACTATGTTATACACGTTTTTCCTATAGTTAGACATAAGATTTGGTTCGGGCTGTACTAATCAAGCGCCAGCAGATGGCCAGACTGATCGCAACTACCGTTTTCACCCGAATAGAACGCCGGTCATTATAGCTGTATTTGGTGGAACTTTCAGTCTACCTACAGTGATAATGACCGGGCATTCTATTCGGGTGAAGACGATAGTCCACCCTACTTGTAAGCTGCAAAATGGTCGGCAGTCACAGTATGCAACCTGAAATACAATGAAATGCGACCAAACAGGTGAAAGCAGCTTAGACAAGAGACAAGACAGCCGAAGGGCCACATAAGACACAGCATGCTCAAACGGACCAGACGTACCTCATGCACATTCCAATCACCGTACGTGAGATCAAAACGGGCAGCTGCAATGTGCACAACAACAAAGTCACAGAAACAAGTGACATCCATATCAGCTCCGCCACTAGAAACCTCCATTAAAAAAGGGGAGAAAGTAAAGACAGTCAGAAATGACAGACCCATAAATAAGTCCAAACAACATTCACTGGCTTTGAATTGGTGACAAGTTGACAACCCATCTTCAAACACCACTTATAATCATCCCACAAAATTTTCAAGGACACGCCACGAAGATCCAGGCAACTTCAGGGAATGACCCTGGACATCCCTGGTGAAAGCCTGCTGCTTGTGCTTGCACCTCCTGGGCTGCATCCAGTATGCATACAACAAGCCCCCTAAATAAATTTATGGGACAACTCCCTATTCCGCCAATGCCCCCTTCATAATGCAATTCGACAACTTGACACATCCTCCCATTAAGTGTCTGCATGCCCACGTGCATTCTGACAGAAAGAGCATTTGACCCAAATACTACAAGGAATTCAGACAATACTCCCTCTCTCTCTCTCTCTCTCTCTCTCTCTCACACACACACACACACACACACACACACACACACTCTGATACGTGCCTATCAGGAGAGAGGTAAATGCGCACAACCAGGGAATCACCGGCGTGAAGAAAGACATGCAAAGTTGCAAACAATCCAAGCAGAACACTGCAAATGAACGACCTCCTCCCACAACATCATCATGTCCACATGCCAGGAGGAGAGCATGGAGACGGTGTGGAAAAAGCGTAAGAGGAAGAGAGCAACGACTCCAATGTAACAGCCGAATAATCATAGTCTCTGTGCAAGTTCTATGATCCGTCACCAAATACAACGGCGAATCTGGAGGCGTATCCTCCCTGAAATAGTCACCATCCTCTGGTCTCTCTCTTGCACTAAAACCGGAACAGAGGAGGCTGCCAAGGAGGGGTCGAGGAAAGACTATTACCTTGTTTACTTACCCACTACACCTCCAGACTCGATTATATGAGGTCTATAAGTGAAGACCAGCCCGTGTCTGGCAGCAGTCCCAGGTCACAACCCCTGGTCCGTACTCCACTGCTCCAGAATGCCACTGTAGACCATATCCCTCTCTCCTCTGATGCTACCTAGCTCTCTAGCACCAATGCTCAAACACAGCGCTGTTCTCCTGCAGCCTACCCCAACAGTGAAACTACCCAATTGTCCTCCAGACTGAGAGCTCACCCAGCCACATACCGGTGGGCCTACCGGAAACTACCGTCCAGCATCTGGGGCCGTCTGATGTAAACCACAATCACCGGTTCTAGATGCAGGCTCTAGTCCTGGTCTACATGCTTGGTCCAAGCCTGGGTCCCAACCGGACGTCCAAGCAACCCTGCTGATGCACCAGTGCAAGCCTAGGAACAGGCAAGGGCTGGACCAGTCTCTACCACAAAAAAAACAGGTTCAGGCCAGACACGGGCAACAGTCTGCTGGGCCTGAAATGGTCAAAAAGTGGAAACCAGAACCTACACAATGGCTTCTCACACACCAGACAAGACCTGGAACAGACAAAACCTCCCTGAAACAAGCTATTTTAACTCTTACAAATCCATACTGCCAATAATCTCAAAAGGAAAAACAGAACAGAGAAAAACTACTCACACCAATCACAGACACGCTAAGGGCCCACAGACTTATCAGACTAGTGGCTCAATGCATGTAGACATCATCCTCATGTCAAGGTGTGAGGAGGGGAGCATACATAGGGAAACGGTCCCTCCTTGAAACACACACAGGAGGAAATCCACAGATGATGAAGGAGAGAGATGAGGATGTAAGTTTGGGAAAAGCATCAAGCACGGAGAAATCCACAGATGATGGAGGACAGAGATGGAGATGGAAGTTTGGGAGAGCGAACATACAACCAAAATAATAGTAATCTGTCTTGAAGTCCCACAATTGTCACAAAGTATAATGTCAAGTCTGAAACCGGGGTCATAGCCTCCTGAAAGGGTCACCAGTCTCTGGTTTGTGGCTCTCACACCAGAAGTAGAACAGAGGCGGCGGATATGGGAGGGTAGAGGAGACAAACAGAAGAATCTCTCTCTCTCTCTCTCTCTCTCTCTCTCTCTCTCTCTCTCTCTCTCTCTCTCTCTCTCTCTCTCTNTCTCTCTCTCTCTCTCTCTCTCTCTCTCTCTCTCTCTCTCTCTCTCTCTCTCTCTCTCTCTCTCTCTCTCTCTCTCTCTGTCTGTGTGTTATAAGCTTCCCCCACAACAACCCCTATTCCAACCAGATGAGTAGAACCGGACTGAGTCCGTCCAGCACTTGAAAAAAAAAAAAAAAAAAAAAAAATCTTCTTTGACAGGCAGCACGAATCATAATAGAACCATTTTGATCCGTGTGTGTGTGCGTGCGTGCATGCGCGCGCGCGTGTGTGTGTGTGTGTGTGTGTGTGTGTGTGTGTGTGTGTGGGTGTGGGTGTGGGTGTGCGTGTGCGTGTGTGCGTCCGTGCGTGTGTGTGTGTGTGTGTTGTCAAGATCCCCGGACTCTCTCTCTCCATCCTCGTACTACCACAAACTACCCATGAACAAAAACAAAAAAGCAATATAAGAGAAGGTGCAAGGTTCCCCACGTTTGTGTGGTTGAATGGGAAGTGCCCACACACCCGTCTGCCGCCGAAGTGTGTATGCGTGTGATGTCTCAATGCCAACCGGAGAGGGTGACGTCCAAACTGTGGCACACTGCACAGTACATGCCCTCCAATGTCAATGTAGACCTCCCTCTCTCCCCAGCCCAACTCCTCGCTCCCATAGCACCAATCTTTCCAGCCCTAATACTGAAACAGCGCTGCTTTCCTGCTGCCTGTTGCCGAAGTGTGAAGGTAACACTGCATGCCACAACTCAGTGCTGGCCCAGCTATATACAAATCAGCCTACTAGTTCTGGCTCTGGTTCAGATGCAGGCCTAAGTAAGAGCGCTAAATGTCACAAGCCGTGGCGCCCAGGTAAGTCCGCTGATGCTCTTCAATGTTGTCATAAAACACCCTCTCTCCCCAGTCTACCTCCTACCTCTAATGCTAACCTAGCTCCCAGCCCTGATGCTGAAACAGCGCTGCTTTCCAGAAGCCTGTTGCAGAAGTCTGAAGGCAAGGCCCACTGTGAGCCACAGCTGAGTGCTGGCCCTGCGATATGCCACTGGGCCTACTGGGAGTGGCTCCAGTCTGGATCCACAATTGATAGTCCCGGATGTCGGCCCAAATCCTGGACAGGTGGAAGTCCCTAGCTATGAAGTACAGGTAATTTCGCCTCTTCTCTCTAGTGTTGCTGGAGACCTCCACTCGCTCTTCCGTCTATCTCACCTCGCTCTCAAAGCTAATGCTGAAACATGGCTGCTTTCCAGCAGCCTGAAGGAAACACTGTGTGCCATAACTGAGTCCTGCGGCAGCCGTATACCACTGGGCCTACTGGGCAATCATGGGTACAGGGAAAAGAACTGAAAGAATTCAAAGAATAGAATTAAAAACGAGTCAGCCGAACTGCTGCAGTACGGGTCACCTMCTCAAGAGAGAAAAGGGGGGGGGGGGGCATAGTGCATTTTTTGGTCTTCTTTTACTTGTGCATTGTCTTTATTTTTATTTTTACGTCTGAGATTTTCGGCTGTTCTGTCTTTTGCGGGGGTCGAGCAGTTTCATTAGAGTGTTTTGTCATCCCTTGTGATGCACTGAAGAAGCTTAGATTGTGTTCATAGCAGACGGCAGCATCTTTGACATTCTCTGTAGAGTCCATGAATACTCACAAGCATGGCAGAACACCATCCTCACCTGTCATTCCAGCTTGAATGAGAGCAATGAGCATTTTCAAGGAGTTTGAGCTGGGTCCAATCGTACATATAACTTTTGTTTGCGCTTTATCCCGCATATCCGCCTGCCATCAGAGACGAGTTTACCCACATTCAAGCAAGTTTATCCACCATCAAGGAATGCGCATTTCCAAGCAGTTTGCCCACGGTCCAATACTTGTGCATAACACACAGCGTATCCGACCAAGGAGAAGAAAATCATAAGAACGCCATACCGTAACAGAACAGAAAGGGGACGCACCCCGCTGCGCAGTATCAATCGCTGTTTTTCGAAGTCCTACTCGAACTTGACTTCAACCATAAAATATTTACCATCAGATTTCCTGACAAAAATGTAGACATCACTAAGTTCGGCATGGCACCAGGAGGTATTCAGTCTCGAGAACAGGAGGAGATTCAAATTGAGTCAACCTGCAATGCAGCGACTTGTCTCCAAGACAGTCAGGAATGTCCATCAGTGTGCAATACAGCAAACGGAATTGCCAGTTTTCTACAGAAGCAATTGGGAGATCACATTTCTTCTCTCTCGTACAGTTCACACAACTTCATAATCACATCCGCTACAGTTACAATGTTCGTTGGCCAAACAGAGTGTTTTCAATTGTCGACTACAGCCAGTGGCATATAATGTCCATTGTCCTGATTTGAAATTATTTCTATTGCAACCTTTAATTCTGTTCCCCTCAGAGTGTAGACAGCTCTCTACCTGGCACTACACACACTGGAAGGAAACTAGGCCATGGGGTATAGCAAAGGTAGGAAGGCCTCCAATCGGCAGGCACCTTTGTGCGAAAGTGACAACAATCCAAAAGCACCTACCAGTTTACTGATTGTACGCCCTCCATACAGATAGGGAGGACGAGAGAGACTAGAAAAGTACTGTTGCAATGTTTGCTAAACGCAAGTCCGCCAACACAAAGCATGACATACATACGCTCTTCCATAAGATTTCCATGCCCTGTGCACCGACATCTACTCCAACACCATGTCTGAAGGCTGCAACCAACATTTGCCAGACAGGGGAAGGCCCATTCGGTATGAGGTGCACCCCTGATGTTTTGTACACATGCCCCCAGTACCTGGAGGCTGGTGACTTGACTGGAGAGGATAGCACTGGCATGTGACCATCAAAGATATTGTTCATACACAACAGTACCCCAGAGGAGTGCCATAACACCGGAAAGTTGGAAACGACATTACAGTCTACCCAGTGCAATCACAAGGTTAGGGAACTGTATGCATGTGTAAGACGTACTCTGCTTGTACACGTCCGATGCTAACAATTTGTGTTTGCATGTGCGTCTGTGCCGACCATGGAGATGGGTATCGGTGTGGCCTGGCGGACATATTGCATGGTACCGATGTGCATAGCATATAGGGCTGAGGCAGAAAGATAATGTAGCCACGACTCAGATGACCATTGTTTCACACCACACTACATAGTGGTATCGGTCTTATCAATTTCTATGGTTTTGGCATAAATGGAGTTGAGTGATGTCCATTTTCTATTCGGGTGCGATGCTCTGTGATCAGGGGGGGGGGGGGGGGGGTTGGAGGCGGCAGAGGTTCGCTACTTCTGAGGTATGGGCAAATTGGCAGGCTTGCATGTCAGGATCGCCCAAGAGGCAGGTTTGACGCTTTTGGCACAAATGAAGCTGAGTAATGTCCACTTTTTATTCGGCCAAGATGCTCTGTGATCGGGGGGAATGAGAAGTGTGGGGAGGTGTTGGAGGTGGCAGAGGTTCATTACCTCTCGGGTCCTCTCAGCCCCCCTGATCACAGAGCATCTTGTCGGAATAAAAAAAATGGACATTACTCACCTCCATTTGTGGCAAAATCACCAAACCTGTCTCTCAGGCAATCCGGACATGCAAGCCTGGCGAGTGCGACATCACTAGGGGCACCACAAAAGCCTCTTTCTTGCACAATCGAGGGATCACAACGCCCACTGGTTCAAGAAGTGAACAGACAGAAAGCCACCTACACCTTACAATCCACAGTCTTCCCTGATCACGGGTGTATACAAGCCATCTTCCAGGTCGCATACAGTCCTGCTGGGGCGGGGTGTATTTGAGGGACAATGGCTGTAGCAGGTGCGTCGTATCACTGCTGTCACCAACCGGTCCTTCAAGCTCATGCCATGCACAGGTGACGAGAGTCCTGGTGCTCTCGAGCACGTGGTAAATCACACAGGTGATTTTTGGCTTGTTGGGTAGGTGCTGATCCAGTCGAAAAGACAGGAGGCTCGAGTATGAGATTCCCTCCCCTCCGCACGGCTGTGCAGGCAGATTCTACTCATGCCAGGCGTCAGAATGCTACGCAGTAGAACTCTTTTGTCAGATGCCACCTCAACAAGGGTAGTGTAGGTGTCCGTACCTTTGTTGTCACGTGCCACCTCAAAAATCGTGCACTTCGTTTTCAACTTTTCATTGCTTTACTTTTTTCCCTTACCCAAACCTACTTTGCTTGACAAATGAAAGGAAAAAGAGGCACTATGGCCTGCAAAGTTTCAGGCAGACGAGAACAAACCCTGGACCACCTCCACCACCCAAACATCCTCTGCTCTGAGCAGGCAATAAGAAAACCCGATTCCGAGTCACAGAAAGGTACACATACTACACGACCTTTTTTTAACGCACCTTTTTTGGTCCATAATTCCAGGTCCTGTAGGAATACAACCCTAGGGTGACAGCTAGCACAACTTCCACGTTTATCCCCCTTCCCTTTTTGCTTCTAATAAGCCTTTCTTTACCCCTCTGCCACTATCCATGACCAACCGAGAGCCCTAAACAGACCCTGGGCCGTTTCACACACGAAAAGGCAGAGAAAAACCCAACTGTGCAACACAGAAGGTTACAGAACCTTTCAAGGCATCTTTCGCTTGTGTATAATTTCCGGGTTAGGGGTACAACCTAGAGTCAAAACAAGCAAATCTGTTTTTGCCTCTTCTGCCCTCTTGCTGCTGATAAGACTTACTTCAGCCCTCAAACATTGTGTGACCAAACACGAGACAGCAAATCAAAGACAATGTTTGAACTTGCTGACTGGAATCTTAAGGTTGGGGCCTTCCTTGGTGTGTTGAGTTACGTAGGGTTTCCTTTCACTTGCGATCAATCTACCGTTGGGAGGCCTGGCTGGGATACAGACTCCATGTCTCGGCCTCAGCATCCACTGGTCGTCAGTAGGGGACAGCCAGACAAAGAGAGACACAGAGAGTGAGGATATGATGTACACCAATGTGTAACTCTTTGCCAGGCGGAAGAAGTGGGGAAACGGGAAAAGTGGACAAAGGGGAGAGAAGTGGGGTGCTTCCCTCCCGTCTAGTACCTCTTTCCCCTACTCGTGTTGTCCACAACATCTCAGAGTCCTCAAGTCAGTACATCCAGATACAGAGAGAGAGAAAGAGAAATGCACGCTCATGTGTAAATGTTACCAGAATGAAGCCCGGGAAAAGAGGAAAAGGTACAAGAAGGGTGGTATTTTTCTCCAGTTGAGCTCATCTCTCCCTATCACGGATCTCTCCTCCTCTCTACTGCACACTCTCCTCAGTTTAATTCGCTTCTGTTCCTCTCTATTCCAGCTTTCGTTCCGTTGCCTTCACATTTGTACCCACCTTTACCGTTCCAAGAAACCACGTGCCAGTATGCACTGCACTGACACAGTGGGCAGCCTCTGTTCGACATAGCAGGAAAAACCGTTTAGCAGTACGTATTTTCAAAGAGTACTGCTTGGTGAATCATAAGCAGGAAGGGAGAGGTGGATAAGAAACAGCCACCTTTGATCTGTGTTGATCGACAGCCCACAGTCCACGAAATCAAGATCGAGGGCCAAGTCCCCCTGATTCTTTTTCCACGGCCTGCCTGCTCGGTGGACCCTCAGAGGCCACCAGGTAGCCTACCATATCAGGATCCTGCCCAGCACAGATTTGTGCCAGGCCAGCCAGTTCCCCATACATCCCTGCCCAGACTGACAGATGGCAGGTTCCAGGCAAGCTCAGGCCCGCCGTCCCAGCCCAGACGGCATCCTAGACATACATGAGATACCTACACGGCATCCACCCCCAAAAGCTCAACTACCCTCTTCAGAAAACTAACAGGAAAAAAAGTTATCTTGAGCAAAGTCAGACTTCAGGGCCAAGAGCAAGGAAATATGGCAGGTGGGCATACCGTTTTCTGTGAGTGGGCATGAGGTGTTTGCGTGAGACCAGATCAGGTAACCAGATATACTAA